AAAATAATAATAATTTTTTCCCTATGTATTAACCAATTTAGGCCTAATGACGAACTTCTTTGGTAAACAATAATACAATTATGGTTTCAAGGACCGAAAAACATATAAAATTAATTTATCATCTTTTAATGTGTAAGTTTAAAAATTTGATTCAAGTAAAAAGTAAACTACGAAATGAAAGATCATTTTAAATACAACCGTCGTCATTGTTGCATCTATTTGTCATTTTTTTTATGAGGAAAACTTACATCGCATCACATAACTTTCGGGTCAAAAGATAACACGTTACCATGAATTTTTAACACGACTTTTTTTTTGGTAAAAATTTTATTTAACGTTGCATGATTTTTTTTATTACAAATATAATCGTAGATATTAATTTATAGTAAATATTAATAAAGAAATAATATAATATTATTGGTTGAGATTAATGAACGATATTAATGTTAAAAATGAATCAAAAAAAATAATAATAATAAATCAGAGTAGTCGAAAAATAATCATTATACGCCGAAGAAATAAAGAATCCTTTAAACTTTCATTAATTTTATATTCATTGATTAGAAACGCGAGCCAAAAAATGTTCGTTCTATTTTATAAATTTTTGCATCAACGCAAGCACGTAATGCACAATGGATCTTGGTGGTTCATTATTCTATATCTACGGCAATATCACATGACACGATTCTCAACGGAATGAGTTATAAAATTTTTGGAATTTCTATTACGATCTAAAATGGCGGAACATATTCATCAGATTTATCCGATATTAGGAAACGTTTTTCTAGCGGATATAATTATGATTTAATCATCCAAGTTGGGGAAGGCCATAATGTGAAAGAATTCTTCATTCATTCATTGATTCTAGGAGCAAGGTTAACAAACTTTAAGACCGCATTTTCAAAGGAATGGGCCAAAAAATATGATGCCGTGATTATTTTTAAAAAGCCGAATATCTCTCCGGAAAACTTTGAACAGATTTTAAGTTTTTATATACTTGAAACGTTCATTTAGATAATCTAGATGTAGCACAATTATTGATTGAACTGTTAATTACAACTGATAAGTGACCATATTCAACTTTCGATAAATAATAAATCTGAATATTTGAGAAATGAACCATTGAAATTCTTCAAGTTGTATTTCGTCATGAAACGTTTGAAGATTTAAGAAACTATTTGTTAGAAGGTATTTGCGATAATCCTAAAGCTTCTTTCGAAATCTCTAAAGTTTTCATCACTAGAAGATGATGATGTTATTATTTTTCTTTTAAAAATAAATGAACTTGAAATGAAAGAATTGGATATTTGCAAATGGTGTGTTTCAAAAATGTCTACCCCAAAAGAAATTGATCTATCTTACTGGACTTCAAATGATTTTGAAATTCTTCATGATTTAATTCCACATTTAGATTGTTTCATATACCTTCAAAAATTTTTTTGAGTAAGGTCGATTCATATGAACCAAATATTTCCAAGGAAACTTTATAAAAGCATCATTGATTATTTTATGGATCCAGATACACCACCCGATACCTTAGTTTTACCTCAAAGACGTATCCCTTATCATTGAAGCTTCTTTATCGTGCCAGTAGAAACGAGTAAGAAAAAATTTGCCATATATAACCATTTAGATATCGGACCAGCATTTGGTGGAAGATGGAATTTAGGTATTCAAAGTAATAACATATACATATAATTCAATTTCGGCCTAATTTCGGTTTCAGATTTCGGACAGTTTCGGCATTTTTTTATTTTTTTTTTTTTGATGCATTTATTTAGAAACGATCATCATACTTATCACATTTATCACATTTATCATGACAATTATCACACTTAAAGTTCTGCACTCGTTACATATTTATTACAATTATTAATTGTTAAAAATTATTAATTATTATTAACTATTATTAATTGTTAATAATAAAAATATTATTAACTAAAAATTCAGGGCCATCACTAAATATGAGCGGTAAGTGTTAAAGTAACTCATTTATAATTACACAAAATTTTTTTAATATGAAATGATCTGCGTGCGAGCGCCAAAGGTTCGAATGTTACGAGAGTAACCCATGGTACCAGTTAAACTGCGTAAAGGTTCGTAATAGGGATCGTCCTAGGGAACAGTGTTAAAAAAAACTGAGAATAAGTGCAAGGAATTTCGTCTTAAATGGGTGATAGATGAGGGAACGTTAAATCTGTAGGCTTCTTACAATTGGTAAGTGATTCAATTAACATTTGGAGTTGAAGGACTGTGGGATGTCAGGTAAATTTCGTTATATAGGGTAATCGACGGAGGCGGTATAATTTGATCAAGACGCTTTCCCAAAGTAAAGAAATTTTTTCGCCATAGACACAAGCGATACGACAAAATATTGTTTTTAAATTTGTCGTAGATCTTTGGTTTATATCACCAAGATTCGATGGTGGTGTTTTCGGGATAATCTCGATTGTAAATTTTTGTTATTAAAATATTTTTTTTTACTATCTCCTATTAATAATCCTATGTTAAGTGTTTTTTTTTTTTCATTGAATATCGTATCATTATGTGGTTTGGAAAGTTGGAATTTTTTGTTTCATAAAATTTATCTCGTGGAATGTCTACTTTGTCAGCACAGATTTATTTTATCATTTTGCAAAATCAATACATTTTAATAATCGCAAATGTACTAAAGTCATACGAAAAAGGTTTTTTTTTTCATAGCGGGGTAAATTGAATCCTTTAAAATGGTATTATGAAAACCTTTTACCCACTTGATTAATTTTATTCTTTTGAATTATTTTTTTACTTTGAAATCACGTGACGACATTTACGGTTCATTTATACATAAAATAAATATATGGCAAGCTTATGAAACTTTATTTAAATTTGTGATTTCATGAAGTTCGGAATTGCGGTACGTAGAAATGGTGTGCGGTCAATTTTAAAAATAAATGGGTACGAAGAAAAGGTGTGTGCGGTCAATTTTAAAAATAGATGGTACGAAGAAAAGGTGTGCGGTCAATTTTATAATAAATGTACGAAGAAAAGATGCGCGGTCAATTTTACAGTGCGCGGTGCGAAATAAATGAAGCGAGTATTAATTATATTCAGATTTGCCAATTAATAGTGAGGAATTTCAAATCGGATATTCATTAAATTCGAGTGAAACGAAATTAGGGGGAAGGAATAACATCGGAATTTAGGAAAATTAATGGCGTTAAAGAAAGAATGTATGTAACATGTAAGGAAAAGTAAAACAAAACATTTTGATTGCAAAAAAAATCAAAAAAGTGAAGGAGGAAGTTGAGGAATTGCGGCAGGTAGGTGAAACAATTTATGATGGAGATTACAATCATTTTTTTGATTTGTCCTTCTTTTAATTGCACGTAGTTTTGAGTTACATATGGTTCTTGATGATGCTAAGACATTGGTTAAATAGAAGTAAGTAATATGATTAATATAAGATTTCGAGAAAGATAATAATAACGAAATGTTGTAAATTTTAAAAAACTCACATTTTGTACCAAGATTAATGAGCGAATGAAGTTGACTCGAGAATTCTGTCCAGTTTTTTATATCAAGGAAATTGGCAAAACACGTGGTTTGGATAAATGATCTGTTTTATTTTAGTAATAAATAAATAAATAAATAAATAAAAGAAAATATATATCGTTATTTATAATTTAACTTTCAACAATAAAAAAAATTCAACACACACTTAAAATTGACTATCGTGATTTATTAGTGGCTAGCTAAATATACACAAAATTAAAAACTCGAACAGATTCACCCTTGTTTATTAGCTTTTTGTTTTGATTTGTATTCATATTTAAAACGTTTATCAGTATAAAGGAATTCTTTTTCTTTGTAACCAATAATCCAATTTCGATAAATCTTACTCTATCAAAGTTGAATCGCTGATTCTCAGATTTTTTTTTTTTATTATGTGAGGGCTTGCTGCCATCGTTCGTTTTTTGTGAAAAATTCAATTATAATCGGTTAAGCCTATAGACTAATATGCGTTAGTATCTAGTCGATCGATCGGGGTTTGAAGAACATGTGGATGTAAATGAAGGTAGAGATCGACAGAAACTTAGCCTTCGCTGATAGGTCTGTAACGGACAAAGGCTCCTCCAAAATTCAATAGTAACATCTATTTATCGATTTCCACGAATTAGTAAAAATTTATTATTGCATGACTTGTTTTTTTGTTTACTCCGGAATAATAAATGATGTTGACGAATCATATTGAAAAGTATGCAATTCAATAATATCTTTTGGTTTATTGATTGTTCAAATAAAAGATCGACATTCGAAGTGAGTCATATGAGAAAGAATTTTTTTAACCCTTTATTATATCGTGATTATATGAATCAACGATATGTAATTTTACAACTGGTTTAAAATAAAAAATTATTTAATAATCTAGACTATAAAAGTGAAACTATTACAATAATTTATTGAAACACCTGTTTGAAACAATACTTTATTATTTAGTAAAATCAACCTTTTTTTTTTGATCAATTCAAAAACCTGATTTTTGCCAAGAACCTGCATGACGTTATATGAACTCCCCTAAATATCATGATCCTTTATTGCGGATTAAAGTAAATATAGCGTAATATATTTAAGATTTTAATCAAGAAATCAAATATCTAAAAAGTTTCTCATTGATGCAATTTTTATATACGTACCATCTGACAATAATAAATAACAAAAGTTATCTCGCACTGTGAACAAGAAAATGCTACTAAAAAAAAACTTGCTCTATCTAGTAGGATAGAAATTTCACGATAGAATTCCATGGGATTGACTATCTTCTTTATGTTAATGTTTATTAGTCTGTGTGGAAATTGCCGTTATGATTTTATGGAAAGACATTTGGAGATTTTTTTGTTTAATGGTTATTGTTGGTCTTTTCCTTTCATAAAATAAATCAAGTCATTGGGTACATGTCATAAGCACTTATCGGTCAGGAATTTATAAAAAAGATTTACGAAATCTAATTCAATCATATTTCACCATTTCATATATTTGATAGATGAAGCTTCAAATTGAATTGGTTTGATCAATTGATTCACAGCATAGCCTGAAAATTTTAGCTTTTCAGTTTTTACGATATCACATTTGTTTAATAACATTTACGTGTTTTGGTAATTTCATCATCCACCAAAGTTTTTGTAACAGGTTAGATACATTGCGGCTTGCTTCCTTTACAAATTTATAATTCTTCAAAGTCATTTTTGGATGCTCGAAGCACAGAGAACGCGTGGGCAGATCATTATATGGACATTTGCAATAGGCCAAATTTACTTTGAGATGATTTTAGGTTGAGATATGCTCGGATTTAGCATTAACTCATTTTTTATTTTTCCAACAATTCTCCTTCCTTTGTTATGAAATTTAAAGAATTTAATTATAGACAAATTAGAATTCTCTATTTAGCTATTTTGATATGTACTTGTGTTTCTTTACTTTCAATTAACTTAATTACTTTCAATTCAATAGTACTTTTTTTTTTAAAAAAATAAATTTCTTTCTCATTTGTTTTCAATTTATCTTTAATATATATTCGACTGATTGACTAATATGTACAGTTTTTAAATCGTTCAGATTAAAACGTGATCAAATTAAAAATTTGAATACGGAACTTTTGATCTGGCTAATTTGATCATCGCAATAATTTTTTTTTTTGCTTTTTTTTAATAACATATTTTTTATAAAATGATATGCTAAAAAAACTTATAAATAACGTTTTTTTATTAAATTTAAGCCAAAAAATTTTTGCTATTTTGATTAAAAGAGAAAAAACGTGTTTTGAGTTTTTTTTTTTTTTAAAAAAAAAAAAGAAACTTGCATTCAATTTTACAGTTAATTTTAAACCACTATTAAATACAAATTTAGTTTTAAGTTACTGATCAAATTACACATCATATTAACATATATATCTACAACATTAAAAGATTATCAAAATAACTAAAATCTAATCATAATTTGAATAGATAATACCATAGTAGGAAAATTTTAGAAAATTTTAAATTTATATATTAAATCTAAACTTATTTTATTAAAAAAATAAATTTATATATAAAATAAAATTCTTTATTTTAAAATATATAAAGCTAAAAATAAATCTAGAATTCAAAATATTTTAACTTAAAGGTTATTATATTATAATTTATTTGTATTATTATAGAGATAATCATCATAAATTTGGTAGTATAAGTAACTATCATAATTTTTAGTAAATATGTATATACTAACCTTTCGCTTGACATTGATTACAATTCAAACATATATTTTAAAAGAACACTTAAATAGATTTTTCATCGTTAAACCATACTAAAGTAGTGTTACAAAATATTTTAAATCATAGTTTCATTAGAAAAATTACTTTTATCTAATTATAATACAAGTAATCATGTATTTAAAATAAATAATTATCTTTTACTTTCTAGATCAAGAGAAGGACTTTTTGAAAAAGAACTGCTACATAGGTAAAAGGTAAAGTTTTCATTAAATAATTGCTTCACTAATTTCAAGTTTAAATTCTTTTCTTTTTTCATATGATCTTTAATTTATATAAAAGTAATTTATTTAATTATAAATACAATAAATTATAATTTATAATCACAACTTATAATTTATATAACTTATATTATTATAAATCAGAAATTGAATAAATAAATTTATTAGCCATAAAGTTTTCTGTTTTACATTTCTAAATAAAAAAGAATATAATTAATTTTTTTTTAATCAATTCTATTTATTATTTAAATTTATATTTTAAAAATGTATAATTTATTAATCAAATTAATACTAAAAATTTTTTGTATCAGGTTATTTTAAAATTAATTATTCAGCTTTTTTGTGATTGAGTTATTAAATGTATAACTAATAAAGTTAGATTTATAAACAATCAAAATTTGTTAAATTATAATTATATAATAAAATTATAATTAATTATTTAATCATAATCTCAATTATAAATTTTGATCTTATTGATTGATTACTGAATATAATAATTAAAATACTGATTAAATAACTTTAATTAAAATAAAAAAGTCTTTTATTTATTAAATAAAACTATAAAAATATTTTAAACTTTACTTTATAATTTATATATAATAAATTAGATTTATAATTAAATATATTAAACAAAAAAAATAAAGCAAAATTTTAAAAGATTATTAGTAAAAATTAAAAATTAAAATTAAATTTGAAAAATAAAAAAAAAATATCAAAAAGTTAAATTAAAAAAATTAAAAATTAAAATCTGTGATTAAAAAAAAATCATAGTTATTAAAATTAAAATTGTGATTATAAAAGATAATTAAAAAAGTATAAAATTAAAAAAATAACAATAAAATATTTATTAAAATTAAATTTAAATTCAAAATTTAAATTAAAAAAACAAATATTATAAATTAAAAAAAATTCAAAAATTATAAAGAATGAAATTAAAAAAAAAAATTTAGAATTAAATAAAAATTAAAAAAAATTACATTTGATTTAAAAATATTTAAAAATCAAAATTATAAAATTTGTCTAAAAAAACTAAATTTGAAAATTATAAGTATTAAAATTGCATTTTATTAAAAATTAAATTAAAAAAAATCAAATTTAAATCATACTTAAATCTAATTTAAATATTATCTAATACTAACTTAAGCTTAATTTAAACTCTATCTTAAAATTATATTTTTTTTTTAAAAATTTAAAAAATTTATATTATAGATCTAATTTAAAAATTTTAACTTTAAAAATCTTTAAATTAAAGATAAGTTTAAAAAATTTTTTTTATTCTATTTTTTTATTTTTTTTTAATTTAAAAATTTACTTTATAAATCTGATCTGAAATTTTTAATCTTATAGAATCTTTAAATTAAATATAAATTTTAAAAATTATTTTTTAATTCTATTTTTTTGTAATTTAATTCAAAATCTTTAATCTTATAGAATTTTTGAAACTTTATTTTCTTACTATACAGTAATTGCATAGTATTTATTAGGCTATGATTAAGCTACTATTAAATAAGATAGTAACTATATATTTACTTTTTAAATTAAAAGTAAGTTTAAAAATCATTTTTTTTAATTCTATTTTTTTATTATTTTTTAATTTAAAATACTTAATTTATAAAATCACTAATTATAAAATCTTTAAATAAAGTAAGTTTAAAAGATTTTTTTATTTTTATTTATTTTTATTAAATTTAAAAAACTTAACTTGTAAATTTAATTTGAAATCTTTAATCATGAAATCTCTAAATATAAATAAATTTAAAAGATTTTTTAATTTTAAATATATATTGTTGATATTGAAAATTTACCCTAGAAAAATAATTTATAAAAGTCATTTAATTTAATTTTATGTAGATTATATTAAGGAAGATCTTGATCAACATATTGTATTAGAAAATCAGATTGATTTATCTGATTTGTAAGATTTACAAAATTCACTTGATTCATTTGATTTATTTAATCAACTTATTTTATTAAATTCTTTATATACAGAAGATGATCACAAGTATCTAAACAATAAATATTTTTTGTTTATTCACTTTATTTACATATTTACATATATTTCTAATTTAAGCATTTGTTTAGAATATAAATAGATATCAATTACAATAATAACAAATAATTTCTTTCAAACAAAAATGGTTAAAATAAAAGAATTAAATGCTGTTCAATATGGGGCAATTCTTTACGATCACAAATGAGATGATTTATATTAAAAAATTGTTAACATCGTTCAATATGATAAAACAACTGTCCATGATATAATAAAATGTTTTAAAGAAACTAGTTCTGTAATACTAAAAAAATGTTGTGATCTGAAGTTACTTTTTAATTCAAATGTACAATCTTCACTCAAAAAGATTATTATATAAAATTTAAAGCATCGTCACCTTACCACTTAAAAATTCAAGAATTATAGACTAAAAAAAAGAAAGTTTCATCTATTACAATTCGTCAGACTCTTAAAAAAGTCAGCTTATATTTGTGTATTACCTACTCTAACTATTAATTTCTAAAAATAATAAAGAAAAAAAATTGGTTTAGACATTAGAATGAAAAGGTTGGATAATTGCAAATTGGAAGAAAGTTATATAGTCTGATGAATCAACATTTAGCTAATTTTTACAAAATTGTAGCTTATGTATGTGATGTATACCAGAAGAAAAATTTGACACTTCTTGTTTAACTACTACAGTAAAGCACAGTCCTAATCAAATATTTTAGGGATACTTTTTATGATATAGATTGGGACCTCTTGTTCCTCTTCGTGAATCTGTAACAGGACAAAAATATACAAAAGTATTACAAAGGTATGTTATTCCTTCAATTACAAATTAGTTTCTCGTAAACAAGAAATTTTTTAATAGGATAATGCCTACTGTATCGAGCAAAAATTGCCACTGATATTTATTACACTTCTAAGATTTTTATGCTACCCTAATCTGCATAAAATCCTGATTTAAATCCTATTAAAAATCTTTGAAATAAAGTTGATAAGAAACTTTATAACTTGCCTAATCAATCTAAAAATGTAAAAGATTTAAAATGTAAGGTAAAATATACTTAGTGTTTAATTCCACTTGAGTATATTCAAAATTTAGTTGAAAGTATACCTATTGCATTTAAGCATATATAGTAACTGAAGGTGGTTCAACAAAGTATTAGTTTTTTATTTTTTTTTTAATAAAATATATAGGAAATATTCAAAACAAATAAATTTTTTGCTTATTCTAAAAAAAAAGTTAATATAATAAGTAAATTCAAATAGTTTAATTAATCATTCAGATATTTATAATTACTCTCTGTATTTATTATTTTCATTATAATTATTATTTTTTTATTTTTTTATTTTTAGCATTGCTATAATTTATATTATATTTTATATCTAAAATTTACTAAAATAACTAATTTATAGTGTAATAAATAGTTAATCATAGTAAATTAATTTTATATAAATAGAATAGCTTTTTGCTTAAGTTATAAATTAACTTATTTATAAGTTTTATATGAGTTTCGTATTATAAATAAAAGAATCAATTTAAATCTACACAAATTTACTTTCCTTTTAATGTTATTTCTCATCTAGGATTTGTTGTAATACTCTATACTAATTTGTTATTAAATTCATCATTATGAGTTTGATTAATATATTTTAAATTTTAAGATGTAATAGATAGTTAAGTTGATTTAAGTATAATAAATACCTATAAAATTTAGAGAAAATCCTAAGGTCAGAAATTTTAATATATAGAATCAACTACTATAGCCTTTTAACTTAAATATTAAAATAATCAAAAATGAACCTGATAACAATATATTTTTTTTTATTTTTTTTTAAAAATTTAAAACTTACCTTATAAACTCAATCTTAAATTTCTAATTATTTAGAATTTTTGAATTAGAAATAAAATCTAAAGATTTTTTTAATTATATATAATTTTTTTAATTTAAATAAGTTTTTTTTTTTTTATAATAATTATCTTATTTAAAATTTAAATTTTAAAAGGATTAGTATTATTTTTATTTTTCTAATTTCAAAATAATCATTAATATTTTTTTTTATTTTAATATTATTTGTATGTATATATACTTTTATTTACAAATATAGATATTTTAAAATTAATATAATAATAATTAATTATATAAATATAATCCCTTTTTTTTAAAAAAATAAAAATTAATTTCTTTTTACTTTTAATTTCTTTTTTTTATTTACAACTATTTTTTTATTTTATATTTTAATTTGAAATTTTATAATGTTACAATTTAAAGATTTTATAAAAACAAATTTTATCATTTTAAATAAAATTAATTATAAATATTATATGATTATATTTGAAGATAATAAAAGATTTAAGAATAATTGATTAGTAAACATATTATTAAAATTGTAAATAATTACAATCTTTTATTTAAATAATAATTAAATAAGGTTTATCATCAAATCTTCAATTTAAAAAATTAATACTAAAATATAAAGAACAAAAGTGTTTAATTTTCTAAATTATAGAAATATACTTTAAAATATATAATTATAAGTAAATTCAAAAAATGGAAATCAACATATTGTTTAGCATTACTAATCAACATCAAATTAAGTTATAGTATTGAGTAAATCAATTAATGCACTAAATAATAAAATCAACATTATATAGATTAATATATTTATATAACTAATTATATGTAGTTTAATTAAATTTTATTAATATATATTAATTTATTATTATATTTTTTTTTTTATTTTTTTTTTAAACCTTTGTTTGATTATTTGAAATTATTTTATCAAATTCTTCTAAAAATTTATAATTTATTTTCCAATTCTTTTTATGTTTTAAAATCAAATAATTAATTACTCTATATTTTTTTTATATAATGTTTTTATAATTTCTTTTTATATTATTTTAAATATTATTTTTCTTTTAATCATCAATAAGTTAAAAGTATGTAAAATAATTTTAATTTACATTAGTTATTTTTACTATAATTATCATTATTATAATTCTTTTCCTTTTTATTATTATCACTTTCTATATCTTTAAATATTTTAGAAAATTCTTTTAAATTATTCTCTTAATTAAAATCTTCTAATCATTTTTTATATTCAAACTAAATTAAAAAATATTAGTAAATATTATGAAATAATATTAATACTAACTTTAAATAACTTATCAAACTTCATATAAGTAAATATGTATCCTATTTTTTCATATGTTCTTGTATCTTTAAAGCTAAAATTTTAGTTTAATTATATAATAGATCTAAGAATATCATGATTACAGTAATACCAAATATAACATTATCTTTATATTATAATTTTCCTTTGATAAATATTCTTTATAAAATAGCTTTGATTATATATAAAAAATTCAGATTATTATTATTAACTTTATTTAAGAGATTTTTCTTATTTATTTAACTTTTTTAGACTTTTTTCAATATCTAATTTCTTTAAACTGATAAATTAACTAAGCTTATCAGAAAATAAATTTAAAAAATACAAGTAGTATTTTTTAATTTATAAATACATAAGCTTTTAAAATTTTAAAAGTATTTTAATACCTATTTTTCTAAAAATATATAATTATCATATACTAATTTAAATATATAAAATAAAAAGAATAATATATACAATAAAATATTTAATATTTCAAAATTGTTTCATCCATTCAAATTAATGATTTCTTGTATTTTTTTTAAGAATATTTGCTTTGAATCTACTATTTAAAAGTTTGTTTGATCTTTATATATAATGGATTTTTATTTTTTTAAAATAGTTGATAATATATTTTTATCATTAAAGCCTAAATAAATCTAATAGAAATTATCATAAAATCAATAAAAATAATATTAAGATATTATACTTATATTTTATCACATATATTTTGTATCTTTTTTTTTAATTATTATTTTAGCTTTTTTAATTACCAATGAATCTGATATTAAAATTATAAGAACATTCTTAATATTTTTCAAAAGCTTACAGTTTTCAAAGATTTCATCTTATAAAGTATCAATCATTATATTTTATTATAGCTATTTTTTGAGTATTTTATTAAAATATTTTAAATATTTATATTAGATTTAAAATTTAAATAAAAGAATTTTATAATATTAATGAAGTTTTAATACATTTATATTCAATAAATATAATATTATTAAGTATCATTTATATTTTATTGCTAAATTATTATTAAACTTTTTTGGTTTCTTATGCTTAATACCTTCTATATTTTTATATTATATATAAATCAAAAAAAAATAATATAAATAAAATTGTTAGTAAAGTAACACTTACCTATAAATAGCATAGCAGATATACTTAATTTTATCATATTTTGCTGATTAATTTGCTAGAAGCAGTATCAAAAAACTCTTGAAAACTAATAGTAACGCTATTGTTATCATTAGTTATTGAAAAAGAACCTTCAAGTTATTTATGTAAAAAGTTTTTTCAATAAATTTTTTCATGTTGTGATCCTTAATTAGTTATTTTTTTTTATACTTTTTTTGTTATTTTTACTTATAATGAAATGAAAAAATTGAGAAAGATTTTTTTTTATCTATTTCATATCTGTTTTTACAATAAAATATTATTTCTATTATAATAATTCAATATTAATCAATTTTATAGATCATTTTTAATATGTTCTTAATCTTATTTCTTAATTCTATTTTTAATTTTAATTCTTATTATTCTTTGAATTTGATTTTGATTTTATTTTTATTTCTTATTTCTAATTTATTTTCTAATTCTTTTATTATTTTCTTATTATTATATTATATTTATATTTAAATATTTATATTCTAATTTTTTTATGCTATTTCTTTTTCTTTTTTGATATTTCATATCCTTGTTTCCTGTTTTCAATTCTTTTATTTTTTTATATTTTATATTTATATTTCTTCTTTATTTTATATTCTTTTTCTTAAAGATTATTATTATATTATTATTATATTATTTTTTATTTTTATAAATATTATTTTTTTTTATTCCTTTATATTTCTTATATTTTATATAATAATTTTTCTCTTTTTTCTGTATTTATATATATATTTATATTTTTTCTTCATTATTTTTATTAATTTTTTTTTTAGTAATATAGATTATACAAGTATTTTATAATTCTATTTTGTTAGTTTCTTTTATTAGAACTTTATATAATTTTTATATATATTCACAAATCTTTTTTTTTCTTTTTATTCCAAAAGTTTTCTTTATTATTTTTTTTTTATAACTTTTATAATTTATTATTTCATATATTTATGATTTTTTTTGTATTCTATGATATATTTCTATTGCTTATTATATTATGATTTGATTTTATATGATTTGCTATTTATGATATATAATTTAATTAATTGTTTTTCTATTATAATCTTTTATTCAATTAGTTATTTTTTAATCTCTTTATATATTAAGAAGTATAATTATATAAGGTGTAACTATATAGAAAACCTATTGTATATAAAATTTAAATATAAAAATGTAATTAAATAGTATAGTAAAAATAAAATATTTTATAATAAATAAATGCATTAAAAAAATTTATAAATTTCTTCCACACGAGATTTTGTGGCCAGCATTATGGAATTTGGCCGAAATTAACATGCGACGAATGTGATAAACATTTATTTCTGGCAACACAGTTTATAAAAAAAAGTTAAAATACCCAAACTCGACCTTGACCTATAGTTATATACTTACCTATTTAATGACTTCTAAAATTTTCAAAACCAGAGAAGATAATAGTTCTAGAAAAGAAGTTGAAACGGATGAAGCTATCGACATAAAAAAAAAGGTGGAATACGATGGAAAAAAAATAAAATATTATTTTCTATTTTTTATTTCTATTAAAAATTATAGTAAGATAAACCAGAAGATTAATGGTTTCTATGAAGTTGTCGAAAAAAATGAATCAAGAAAATTTGATTGGTTCTAGAAGTTGAAAAAAGAAGATAAATGGTTCTGAAGTTGAGAAAGAAGATAAATGGTCGTTGAAAAAGATCTGAAGTTGAGAAAGAAGATAAATGGTTCTAGAAATGAAGTTGAAAAGAAGCAACTATCGAAATGAAATAGAGGAGAAAAAAGGTTGGAAAAGATGGAACAATTTTTCGAAAACGACGTTGGTAAAAAATGGAACTTTTCGAAAATGAGTTCTAGAAAGTGATGGTAAAAGATTGACTTAAATGTGTAGTGGAATTATTCTTTATAATAATTCGGTGACTTAGGAAAACATTTTCCGAGATGAAAAATTTTCGGTTAATCAAAATGTTACGGGGACCATTTTAGGAATAGTTGAGATATAGGGAAATAGGGAAATTGTATGGCTGGAATAATAGAAATGCTTGGGATATAGAAAAAATTAAATTCTAGCTCAGTCCCATTATATGGACAAGTATATGATTATGTAGAATTCACGTTTAGAATTTGTTAATAATTGTCTGATCTTTTATTGGAGCTATCAGAGAAAGACAATTATTGATCATAATCGACAGATTATGCTAATCAATCAACATATCATATTATGCTCTGATTGTTACATTATTCTTCCGGTCAAAGATGATGAGAAAACTCCTTCAATTAACCCTAAACTATAGTTTTGCTAAATTTTTACTAAGGTTTAATATAGTTTCGCATTTTTATAAGCTTTGATATAGTTTTACGTGGACGATGTCGAGACATTGTCTATTTCTCATTTTCCACCAATATTGGAACCGTGAACATGGAGGTGATCTTAAATGAAACTATTTTAAGAGTGCGAACGCTTGGTAGAGGGAATGCATAGGTTAACTTCGTACTTTTGTTTACAAATAAAAAATTATCTTTCCGAGGTACTTATTACATACATCTTTCGTTTATTATAATTAACAATTAAAAAGTCTTCGTGCAATTTCTTACACGAGCTTAGATTCCAGAAAAATAGAGAAAGCTAACAAGCTCTTAAATGATCTTAAGGTTTATGGGTCTGTAAAAAGGTAAAGGTTGCCAAAGTATTGTCAAAAATAATGTATATATATTAATGCGAGATGCAAATATTGCCTAACGATGAAGGACGAAATAGAAAAGTAGCTATGGCGATTCGTTATAGTTATAATAGTTATTAGTAGCTTATATTTGTTAAATTTATTATAGTGGGGGGGGGTTATAAAGATATATATATTTTAAACCGTGTTTATTATCAAAAATAAAGCACTCTCAATCGTAAACTCGAATCATTTTTTATTTAATAATAATCATATAATGTTCTGTAGAAATTGAATTAATAAAATTGCAAGGTTTGATGTTACGCCCAGATCAAAGATTAGATAAAACATAACATATAATAGCACAATTAAACTTTAAAAAATGTATATATGTACAAGTTTTCCATTATGAACCACGTTCTGCAAAGACGATTCAAAGAGGCATAGTTCAAAAATTAATCTTGTCGCTTAAATCGAATGTCCAAAAATCAAAGAAATTTTCATTAAACAGAATATGTTTAAGCAGAGTTGAGCACAAATATCATGAATTTGCTGTTTGAATTCGATATTATTAGCCTTGGTAGATGATTGTGATGTAAGTTCGGCAAGATCAAGTAAAGGAATGCGGCTTATCTACTTTCGATTTAATGTCAAGAGCTTTTAACTAAACGAATAATAAAATGAATTTTTAATTGTTTATGTTATAATGAAATAATTAAAGCTAATAACTTATTTAAAACTTACTATCATTTGGTAACCTATAACTTGTAATTCATTTTCAAATATTCCCTTACTTATTTAATAAATCTACGCCTTTTGTGATTGCCAACTGTAATTCCCGCATCTTCCCTTCTATAGGAACAAATTAACATATAACTAGGTTTTATTTTAAAAAATAAAAAATAAAAAATTGTTCTACCGTGATAGTTGAAATATCGTGTCTTCAATTTTGGCTATTAAGTAGCCGATCCCCGAAAATGCCAACACTTTCATTAACTGAAACATGTAAATGGAGGGGGGCTTCTCGGAACCGGAATTTTTGGGGTTATACAATGAAGCTATCCAAGCGGCTGATGACATTGATGACAGATGTTGATGACGGAATCGGAATTAGCACCGAGAAGTACTGCATAGGAAATCTTAGATTCATAATCAAAATATGAATTACTTTACTCCAAAATTAAAAGAATTAAATTAAAAGAAGAAAAATCAATAAGAAATTACTACCTAGTTTTCTTTTGTTCTGAATTGTACAAATCGGTAAAATAGAATGAACGAGTTGGACAGGGTTTACAGGAGGTTTGTCTTGATGAATACGACTAACAAATTTATGATGTAAAGTAGTTAGTACATGAGTAAGAGATTTGATTAAATATAGAAAGGATCAATAAGTACCGCAATTAGCTCCAGTTTGAATTGATGCAAAACGACGCGAATCATGAGATTGTTTCATTTGGGCAATTTCTTTAGCAATTGAAGTTTCCACATCGTCTTTATCTGATTCTCACTCTAAGGATTTTAATCCGTAAACTTATAAATCTTATCCGCGTACTATTAAAAACGAAATGATTTAATATTTTTCGTGTAATTTCATATATATATCTCTATCTCGTTAGTTTATATAAATTCTACTTCATCAAATAAATCATAGCATTCCCTAATATGCATAAAGATTCTTTTGTTTTAATACAACAAACAAATATACCGAATATATTGGGCTCCAGAACAGCTATATTTATTTAAACAATAATTTAATAATATTTTATAGAGAATTTTTTTTTCCATTTTTTCACATCATACCTTTAAAAAATTTTTAAATTTTCCTATATTTTTGTGGACTTGACATTAATAACAAAATTTTCATAAAATACGAAGTTTGATCATGATCAGTTTCGCAATTTTGTTGCCTTTCATGTGATAAGATCGAATTTGGATCAATGCTAAGATGTCACTATTTGCGGCGCATGCACCTCATAAATGGGGTAACATAAAGCAAAGACACAAACACTTGTAGAAAAAGTACGTGTTTTTGAATTTTTTTTTTAAAAAAAGAAAGGTATTATTTTTCCTTTTAGAGAATTATATGAGTTATTAAATAGAACCGTCGATTTTGGCGAAAGTAATACTTGCTTGCTTATTGGCCCGTCTGGTTGTGGGAAGACTGGTAACTTTTTTTGAACATAATCACGTGAACTCGTTTTGTATTTTCTGAAGAATTTTTAAACGATTTATCTTTTTTATGTATATAATAAAGCTTGTAAACTAGGTTCTACAAGAATTGTCTGACAGCATGTTCAGATAAAACTAGATAACAAATATCTTGAAGATAAATACAAAGATTCTGTTAATATCTTTCAGGTAAAATAGTTATATAATTTACAAATGAATAAACTTTCATTAACCTAATAAATGTATTTATTTTAATAAGAAACTTGATAAAGAAACGAATGAATCTCTAACTGAATTGGCAAATTATGAGCAAAAAGATATTGACTGGAAGAAAGAAAGAGACACGTAATTTCTAAACAAGAGAAAATTACAATGGCAATTTCTACAGTAGGTTTATTTGTTTATATTATTTTGATGCACATATATTCGAGACAGAGAATAATAAGCTTTTTTTATAGAATCTTCACGGACTTTCGGAAGCGAAATTAGCAATGCTATTTAATGAACAGGATTTGAATGATCGAATGGAAGAGTGGAACTTAAGACACGAGGCTAGAAATTCAACAATTGGACACTGATTTAAAGGTTTTTATTTAACGTTTAAATTAATATATAAGTATTTTAAGATTCTCATAAAATATCTTTTATTACTTTTAGCATTACCTTACTCGGAAAGAATATCTCAAGTCTTGTCTTGCTGATTCTCGATGAGGCGAAAAAAGTTTTTAAATCTTCTCAGCTCAAAGATAATGATCGTATAAAAGGATTGATTATATGTAAGTTCGTCGGAGCGAAGCGTTTCTATAATTTGTTTTGCTGAAATATCTAATTTATTTTAAATTTTTAATCAGGATCATTTGGGTAACCTTGGTGTCATTGATGAAAAATACGATGTCGCGATCACAACTGCCTGTCCTGCATAGACGTCGACGCTTGCCAGTCGCTTCGCACCACACATGAAACTACGTAACCATGTGCCCGAGTGGCCGTAGAACCTGATGTATAGGTAACAGCATGATCAATTTCATATGATTCGAAACCTCTACCATGTGAGCTGCCATCATCATTATAGATCACTGAAAGAAGCTAGATAAATCAGATGCATCACTCTCTTCAGCTCAGATGGACCCCTATGGATTTACTGCCAAATTAGGATAGAGGGATCATTTCAGTCATAGAGCTTGTCAACCCTATTTTTATCATAACCTTACCAGAAACTACAACCTTTACGTCTGGTGACGAAACAACCTTACAAGGATTATGCCTTGGGAGTTACCATTCTCATGTAGAACTATAGAGGTGGTGATTGTCATACCCGTGTTATCAAAATCACCTGGGAATTGAACCCAGCTTCTAACTTTAGTGGCAGATAGATTGCAGTACTGCGGCATGCAATGTTACTCGTAATCCTATTTCTAGGTTAATCCAATCTACTAATTACTAGTTAATCATTTCCTTACAAAGTAAAGGCCTTGCCTTTTGAAGACATAAGATAGTATCTGCTATAAACCCAAGATTAGGCATAATCAATGTCAATCAATGGATTGATTAATCACATATTAGTCTATATTTACATATTCCAGTTACAATGAAATTTTTATTAAAATCATAGTTTTTATGCCTTAGCTAAGGCCTGAACTTGTGGCTATTGTAATATAAACTCACAATAGAAGCTTAGTTATTATCAATTGAATTTGCTGATCTTTATCAATTATTTTAGAAGTGATGATATAGATCATGCCACATTTATAACTTTAGATGAGCTGCTTATAATGGATATACACCTGATAAAAACGCCTGAAAATGTTTCTTGTCTTTGATTTTATTAAGCTGAAAGAAAATATTTTTATCCCAGCATTTTATAATGTGTTAGGTAATACTTTAGTGGTCCAAGATCTGACATAGGCAAGTAGGATCTTCTTCAGCAAAACAAAGTAGTGTATAATAATATTAGAAGGTCAAGTTATTGAAAAATCAAACATAATAAATGGTAGTGGATATACAAGATTTAAAAGCATTATGAGTTTGAAATTTACGTCTAAGATAATATTCAAGTTGATAGCGAAATTGGAAAAAAAATTGTGTTTACCTTAAAATGCAATGGCAGAAATTTTAAATCATTTAGAATTTAACTTCAATATAAAAAAAAATAAAATTGAAGATTAAAATATTAA